CAGCCAATCTTTTTTTCAGTGCAGCCCTTCAATATTAAGCGAAAAAGTAGGTATATTAATTTTTTATATATTAAATAATGTGAAAATTATTCCCCGTATTTTTTACTTTATTATCGTAAATTGATTTGAAAAATTTATGTGAGAATCTTCACGTGTTCTCATTGCTACATTTCCCTTAAGGATCTATAATTTGTTACTAATTAATCCTAGTTGTTCTGTAGCAATTAATATGAATTAAACTAGCGGCCGGAACGGTACAATTTGTGAGTCCTATAATTATTTTAATATGTCTGGACGGTATATTCTCTTTACAATTTATGTATGTATTTTAATGAATTTCTCATATATAATTTTGCACACATGCGCAAACTCACTCACTGTATACAACAAATGGCTCCATCAAGAAGAATAATATTGTAATATCGAAAAAACCGGTAATCTCTCTCTCTCTCTCTCTCTCTCTCTCTCTCTCTTTCTCTCAATGCAAAAAAAATCCATGTGCTCCGTAAGCTGACATATGCATAGTTCGTTATCGATAAATTACAGAAATCAAGTAAAAAAATAAAGAAAGAACATTAAAAATAATATATTATTGGAGATATTACAGTGAAAAACCGCAAGTAAACAGACGATTGATATGCATATAGAAAGTCGATATATACAGAAATCGTTTATTTGTAAAAGCAAAGTCGGAGAATATACAATTTTTGATTAATTTGTTTGTTCCATAAATCGAGGACATTGAAAAATGAATTTGAAAAAAAGAGATAAAAATATCATTTTAAGATATGTAACGTAAATAAATTCTATTTCATACACGTTATTCTCACGTTGCGCTTCGATTTAAGTGATACTTTTGTTTGAACCGCTGTAGTTGATCTACATTTTTATACCTACTTGAAGCACAGACCCGATTTTAATACCCAACAATGCCGATAAGCAATAAAAAGGAGTAAATTGCACTTCCAGTTTTCCGAGCTTTATATTTGGCATCATTTCGACCCGCGACGGATGTAGGTGACGTCACGTAATTCTAAGGCAACCGGAAGTTATGGCGATTAAGTAAGTCAGTGAACACGCAGCTGCGAATCCTATTTCTGAGCACGTTTGATCCGTTAATATTCTGTTACCCTTAATGTCTGTCGGTTGAAGTTACCTTCTATATATCATATATAACGTTAACTTCGCATTATGTTCTACTCGTACTATTGTGGCACCATCAATGGACACGCTCAATTATCCTTTATTCTAAATTGCTTTTTTACATTCATCATTATACAGCAGATTTGAACTTAATAATCGATGAAATTTTGTGTATCTTTCTCTAATCTCTTACTTACTCTGCAGAAAGTAGTATTACAAACTGCGTAAAAATGTAAAAATCTTGAACGTGATTTCGTTCAAGCGAGAATGTGGCGGTAAAAAAACATGCGATTGCGGACATCTCTCACAGCGAAAGGATCGGGCAAAACGAGTACGCAAGGCTATGCTGTTGGATGTAATTTACGAGGCAAGCAATATTTTTACGGCTGGCTTACGAGTACTCTCTATGTTGCTTGGATTCATCTTCCTGATTGCATCTGGAATAAATCATTCCTATATCTCGTCGTGTCCGAAAGGTCACCAACTGCTGCACCTTCTCTAGTCTCACAATTCCCACGTAATATCAAAGAAAGTATTAATATCTGTAATTGACAATATTGAACAATTCCGTAAGAAACTTTTTATAAATCTATTGCGAATGCAATCTTATTTAAGTATACCTGATTAAGTGTTACTCAATTCTTATACTTGCCATCTTTAAAACAATACTCACTCGCAAAAGATATGGGCAACTGTATCGATATAATGGTCCATATTTTTTGCCGGTGAATATTTATATGAGTACTTATATATAGAAATGTGTATTTAGAACATGAGTATTTATATATAGAAATTCCAAGCTTTCTCTACTGGGAACTACGTAAATAATATAAATTATTCTATTTTTTCTCTTATCTCCTTATTACAAAAATATTTATTACTGAGTACACTGTTAAATCTATATTGTCAAATTTAACCTAATCTGAGTCGCCACTGTCCTACTAAATATATCGTTATTTTTTACCAAAACGATAGTTAAATTTGACACTGTATAGTATCAAATTGACACTGTATAGTGTCAAATATAACTATTGTTTTAGTATAAAATCACGACATGATTGAGTAGAAGCAGTGGCGACTCACGTTAAGAGTTAAATTTGACACTATAGATTTAACAGTGTATATAACCCAGACAGCACGCGATATCCATTGGATGTTCTATGGACATCGTGCTGTCTGGGAAATGATTGTGGCTAAGAAGCAAGAAGGTATTGTATTATACTTTTCAGTTCAAGAAAGAAGAAACAATCAGAGAAAAAAGTTACATTTTTAATAATTAATAAATTCACATTGCGCTTTTTGATAAACATCGTTTTTTTCTATTATTAACTGCAAGATTTAGCGTCCAGTTTTTATTCCCCGTGTCTCCGTAATAAATAAATTTTATAATGTACATCGCCCGATATCGAGTTATCATTTTTGCATGCGTGTTGATAACTGCGGATGATATCTGCGCAGACGTGTCTTGGAAAGTTTCTTACTCGCGGCCGACGCAGTCCTTGATGGGAGTGAAGGTACGTAGAGAACGGAGACCCGTAATAAATCTTGAGAATACGCTTTCTGCGCGGGCGCAAGTTGCAGTTTGTTGATAACCGCACCGCTTGCCCGGGGTGTATGGCATAAATATTGGAGTGGCCGATAATGTTTCGGACGTGCATTTGATGCAAAACACCAAGACGTTACTGCTAAGAAAATTGTTGCCCCAAGCATGATCGTCGCGCATAATCGTCGATAGATCTAAATCGGAACTGAGCAAAATAAATATTTTTTTTATATATTAACATATATATATACACACATGTTAAGATATATGTGACATATATATGTATATACATATTTTAATATCCTTTTTTGTTAAAAACAAAGATGAAAGTAAGAATCGTCAAGGCTATATTATACCTATGCTTCATTATTTTGTTTTATTCGCTTCTGGAAATATTAATTTTATTAAATATTGCTTAAAATTGTATTTATTACTGTGTTTTCTCTCTCTCTCTCTTTTCATATAAGTGCAAAAGTTACACGTACGGTTTTCTAAAATGATGATCAAAAACGATCACAAATTTCATAAGTACATGTCACTATATTTATATCTGACATATTAAACGGACAGGTTTTGCAATTGAAATTGTGTAAAATAATTTCTCGGTCTAAAGTTTACGATGGTGTAAATTTTAACTGCGATTATTTGCTTTAAGAGCATTAATAATAGACGAAATTACTGATATGCCATAAAACTCATTGGTACTTTTAGTATCAGAAGCATTGAACTTTTCGTGAAGAAGGGCTATTATAAAATATAAGATAAAATAAATATGCAAATGTTATCCAAAATTATGACATGTGATAGATGCGTTATAAATTAATCTGTATAAAAAGATCAGCAAGAATACAGCCCCGCAATCAAACAACATCACTTTCAACAAATTAAAAAGACAATTCTTGGATTTAAGTGAGAATACTCGCTTTGTGAATTGAAATTGTTCCATAATCTTCAGTGTATAATAAATCTTGCAATCTTACGCATAATTCACCGTAATTTTCAAGTGCCCTCGTAATCAGTATGCACGCGGAGCAAGAGCCTGCCGTAATTAAGTAACTAGACGTGTAATTTACGTCTAAGTCATACAAAATTTATGTCTCAAATTGAAGGATAAAAACATATCATGTTATAAATCACGATATTTTTCTTTGAAAGTCTATAAACTTATAGTCTATAAATCATCTCTTTTTTAGCCTTAATCTTTTGGTTTGAATTGATTTCGAAATAGTAAACACATCCTTAAATTAGTTTTGAAATGTCTCAATTGGTATCGTCCTTGTAGTATATAATAGATAAATATGAATCATCTTCCGAATTCACGTGAAGTGAGGATTTTTAAAATAAAGTACGCGATATTGTTTCAATAGCCTTATAAGTTTGATTTAGTTTAATAGGTACTAGAGGTCTATCCCGACAGTTAGAAGGGCAACTAATTTAGGTCACTTATAGTGCTTTTAATATTATGTCACAAAGGAAGTTTGAAAAAGAATAAAGGGGCTGGAAGGAATGAATGTATTCATTATTTCCAGCGGGAATGGTGACAATTAAACTTATATTGCATCAATTAAGCAATGAAAACACAAAAGGCAACAGTCGAGCAAAACTGTGCGATCGTTTCTCTCTTTTAATCATTGAAGCGGTTCATGCGCTGTGCAAAATTTGGTTTTGAAAATTTGGTTTATTTTAAACCGAAAACTAAATTCTATGAAGCATGTATTGGGCATAGAGGGAGACAGAGTGTACTTGTTAATGCAACATTACTAATGCAACAGTAAATAAAATTATTCTTTTTTTTCTTCTTTTTCAGTCATTTCTGAAGAAGACCCAATGTCATTCATGACATTCCAGCAGGCGACGACATGCTGTTATATCCCGCCAACACAGATCTTGCAAACTCCATACAAGGAACAGCTTAATGGAATAAAATCAGATTATCCACTTCTGAATTTGGAATACCCATCCCAAAATTTTCCAGTTTGGTCCTCTAATTTCTCATCAATGACAACAACAAATATGTCTCTTGAAACACTTAAATCTCCTTCTGAACTATCTGTTAAACCTTTTGATTCTTCTATTGATTCTCCTACTGGGTCTTCTACTGATTCTCCTATCGAACCTTTTCCTGATTCTCCTACTGACCTTTCTATTAAATGTTCTACATACTATTGGTAAGTCTACTTTTATCTTATTTTTTTCTTCGGATTTTTCGGACTTTTGATAAAAATTTATTACACAGACATAATCAGTTATATTGATTTAAATATTGAATATTTGGATACTGAGAAATCCTCTTATTATTTGTCATTGGTATGCAAAGCGTCTGATGAAATCGAATTTGTTATAAACGTTAAGTGTGTGAAAAAGGATTAGTTTTTGGTTTAGAACATAAATCGCGGTCTCTATTATTCTTGGTAGGGATGCACCGGATATCGTAAAATTACCGGATATCGAATATCCAGACAGAATGTAACATCGGTATCCGGTCGGATATCCGAGAAGGCATATCTTATGTTGATATGATATTTTGTTGCTGATATGATATTCTTTGAGTCGAATATCCAACCGGATTTCGGGAAACTGTTTTCTAAAAAAAAAAAAAGGCTGCAGAGAAAAAAATTATTTTATAACAATATATATAGGATATTAATATGGCATTATACCATTATGAATATGCATACTTATTTCTAAAACATTTGTATAATAACAAATCAACAATTTAATGATATAAAATTTCAACCGGATATATTCCCGGATACTAATGATATTCAGCTATCCGGTCGGATAGTAAAAAAGTGCCGAATAATACCGGATACCGGATACTTTTCGGATATCCGGTGCATCCCTAATTCTTGGTGCTCTTCCTTTGTTTAGATCGTCGAGAGACATCGAGAGAAAGTCATAATCGCAAATCCGGCGCACATAAAACAGATTCTAAGCTATAAAATTCCTTCTTCCCGAGAATTAAGTAGACTCTGGCATTTAGATCGGTAAAGGGCTGCTCATCTGTCCGTTATTCCACCTCTTTTTATTTCTTTCTTTATTACATGACATTTTCTATTTCTCTTAAATTCCTGACTTTTAGCATCTGTAATTATCAAAAACAATTATTTTTTATTCGTCGCGCTAATATAATCGTTGCATAATACTGTCAAAGATCAAATTCATTGATCTGAATTAAGAATTGTAATCACTATCATTAACAATTGATTTTCAAAGATTATGAAAGATTATGAAAGACATTGAGGCCGGCAAATTGCATTAACTTATATCTTTGGAGTGAATGGCAAATTATATAGTGACTTTTATATTACATTTTTTTCAAAGAAATCTTTATTAGTATCAATTTTACGAATATCTTCAAAGTAGCCGCTCAAGAAATGCATAAAGCGGGAACTCAAAGTCACCGATGCGTCGGTTGTTCCTCCTTTCCAGCTGCAGCTTAAACGGTGGCGACTATAAAGAATCGAATTTACGAGTGTTGGCCAGTTTTCTCCATCCCATTCTTGTCCATGATGATACTCGGTTATCGTCTTTACTGGGCAATTTGAAGAAAACAACTTTTGCTATATGTGAGAAAGCAGGACTCAAATCCGACGCCAGTTGGCTATCTGGGATTACGCGTGTTGCCTTAAAGATAAGCTGTCTACGGTATTTACATTTAATTCGTTCTCATATATTTGCTGGCGCCCCAAGGAGATTGCGGCAAGTCTTGATTAATTGCTGATACATTCTAAGAATTCTCGTATTTCGCGTAGTTTGCATATTTAAATAAACTTCAAATGAATGTATGTGTGTATACGTATATTTATTAAATGATTAATCATAAAATTTCTACATCCAAGAAACGATGAATCTCAAATTGAAAAATCGGAAGTTCCTGTACATTTAAATTATTGCTTTTTATCACATAATCCATAGAATTACATTAATTAATTTAAATCAGTTTTACTTTTACATTTACTAAATTAAAAAATTATGAAAATATTGTTTTAGTCTTTAAAAATGATATACTTTTAAATTTTGTATTACTTTCTTATAAAATTCACTGAAAAGAAACAATCTTGTGTTATTTATAAACAATAGTGATTTTTTATTTAAAAAAGAGTTAAAAATTCTCATTTATACACGATTCAATTGTCAATTGTACACTATTTTCCCACATCAGCAATGTTCGATACATCTGTAAAAAATATATATGCAATGATATAAAAGGAAAGAAGAATAAATTTAATTAAAAGGCGTTCTTCGAACTAACAATAAGATACGTCACAACAGGATGTATCCTTTTCTTCTTTTAATCTTATAAAAAGGTGACAAAGAAAGTGGCATGCTAATACGATCATGAAATAACGCACGCTATAGCATGAAAATACAAGGGAGCGAGATGGTGACCATTATAAAGTTGAAAAGGAGTCATAAAATATTGTCATACAAGATAATGTCATTCAAATGTCATTAAATCTTAATATTGACATTCTTCTGTTTAGATTAACGTTAGTAGGGATTAGTATTTATTCATTCATTACAATGGTTTTTCGAATACTAATCACTTCCGGCTGGATACTTTAATATGCGAATAATTTCTGTTTGTTTTAGATATATTTAAACAACCAATATCGATAATTCTGTCATATACCCACCCAGAAAAAAAATATCATTCTATTTCTAAGAAAAATGATAACTCAATTTACTTTCTTCTATTTAAGTTACGATTATTTTAAATATTTTCTTGATAATAATCTTAAAATGTACTTATTACAAATTTTAGAAAATCATTATCATACTCAAAACAAGAGTTATTTTCTTGTGAAGAATATTATAAGATTGGTCGAATAAGCTTTATCTAACAAGTAAATCGAATTTGTCTTAATTTAATAATCTAATAGCATTTTTACTGGCAGAGCTGGTGCGCACTCAGTGCACTTTAAAGCCGTTATACACAAATGGACGTAAAGATGTACGTTTAATAAAAATATAGACACGAATTATACCGCGAAATCCTCAATATATTTTATTGTGGTATTTGATAAACATGTGGTATTTTATATACATTGGGTATTTTATTAATTGAGATATCTCACTTTTACATTCAGATTGGGTTAGTATACAATAGCTTTAATGTGCACTGAGTGCCCACCAGTTCTGTCAGTGAAAAACGCTATTAATTGAAGTAAACTTGTGATTAAAAAATAAATTATATAAACTGTGTTAATTAAACTTACTAAGATTCAGAATATATTTTGAGGCTTTTGATAAATTTATTTATAATAGATTTGCAGATATATGAACTTTTAAAATATTTGAAACAAATAATTATTACTTGCGTATGTATTTTTCTGTGTATGATATACATGCATATGTCTAAATTGAGAAAAAATGAAGATACTTCTTCGTAATATAGTATGTAGTTATATCTGTGCAGGTATGTTTCCTCAAACCGCAGCATCTTCTTTTTTGTCACAATGCATGTTTCATCGTGCTATTCATGTATGCAAACATCTCAATCTTCTGGTAGCGGTTATATTTAAACATTCATGATATCGATAAAAATTACTCATGTATCAGTTCATGTCTAAAATTCTGAAAAACTTGTGTGGCGCAATAACCAGTTGCTCTTATATGAATTATGCTATCATATGAATTATTTAATAGTTGATACGATAGAGTATATATAGAACAGAGAGAGAAGGGGGAAATCCAGATTTATCGGATGCATGCAATCCGTCGTTAGAGTCAAGGGGGCATCACATTGCGGCGTAATGGTGATCATAAAAGAACCTAAAAATGTACGACTCGCTAAACGGCACGCGGCGATACCCGCGATATGAAAATGGAAGCGGTAATTAAAATGTCGGCAAGGTTTGTCGGTTATCTTGAATACTGATTGCTTCTAGCTCGTGATTAGGCTGTTGAAAATGAGTCAGTCTTTTCATGAATGCTCGCTCTCCACACTGAGCCCGAATGATGGAATCTGATGGTCAATCGCGCACTCTTTGCTTACGCTTGTATGGTATAATGTAAATACACACACACATATTATATATATATATATATATATTTATAAATACATAGATGTATACACACACACACACATTTTTCTTTTTTTAATATAAGCGATAAGCAATGCTGGCGAAAGATTCGGACTTCTTTGATTTTTTATTGATTGCTATCTCTATATATTTTTGAAAATTTTCGTAACACAAATTATAGCGCAACAGATACAATATCGCATTTCGGTGTTTCTTCTTGTATATGAGAAAATATAATTACGCAATATACTCATAATCCACGATTTCTCTTGATGTTTCTATTTTAAATTGCAGCGTGAATCGATTCGGCGAAGTATTCTCGGCAACCTTTGCGTGCGGCGGACTCATTAGAGCAATTACATACATTAATACTTGTTTCTTGACTCGTCAGCGCAAAAAAATCGATCGTCGCAGATTTAATGTCACATATACGACAAAGCGAGGATTCGTGATCACTTCTAATAGTTGCAGCAAGCGTTCGGCGAATTGTCGAAAGAATTAGTCCCGCTTTTGCAGTAAGCAGCATCAATGTAATCAGACAGGTTGCTCAGAGTGGCCTTAACGACGGTCGTAAACGCGGTTCTCTTTACTCGGTGGATATTTTTTTTACGGTGCTTCTCCTTCTACCTTGTCATCATCGTCGCTACTTTCTTATTCTCCTTAAAGCCCCTTCTACCCATTGCCGCAAAGCCGTAAGTGAGGCTCACTCTTCTGCTTATTTTGCTCCGGGTGCAGTAAACTACCAAAGTTTATGTGACAGATGTTAGAGTGTAATCGAAGTAGTGGAATGTCAATAATCTAACTAAAATTCTCACAGATCTATTTTTAGTAAGTCATTAATTATAATTGCAAGAATGCATGTAAAATCGCAATATTACTTTCAATTAATTGGTTTGATTAATTTAACCGAATCCTAGGCTAATTAATCGTATTGCGCGTTACTGATAACTCTTACATAATCACATTGTTGCTTCCTAAAATTACCAAAAAATAGTTATTAATTTTAATAGTTCATGTTAGTGTAGGTAATTATATTTTACAACATTATATATTTAGTTTATATTTTTGTCATAACGTTTTATTTATAATCAAAGAGAGGGAACTATTTATAAGATAAAATCAACATGACTAACCTAAGT